AAAAAAAAGAAAAAAGTCGCACTCGAATTCCTATGCCACCGAGAATTCCTACCACTCTACCTGCCTCTTCTGGTGAAGGTTTGTTGTTGTTGTTGTTGTTGTTGTTGTTGTTTTTCCATCTTGTTCCACCTACTCAAGACACTATGCAAAGCTTTTGGAATCAAAGTCATGACTGTCACCTTCTGCATGTATGTTTGATCCTTCCTCCAAGCCCGCACAAAGGTGAGCATACAGAATCCTAAAAGGCTGGCTAGCAATGACACCCCAGCAGGGTTGCTGGTCACACGAAGGAGCAGCTTGATAGTGTCTTCAATGTTCACCATCCGGGGCACAATGACAAGTTGCTGCCAAAGTAGGTCAGGCAGTTACAATGACCTCTGGCAGTTACTGTGTCCTCAAAACTGTACTCTGTGGCCCAACCTGCAATTAGAATCAAGATATTGATTCTAACTGAACAGAGTGCTAAGGAAGGGACAAACATAAAACACAAACACATGCAATTTAGGGAGGGAAAACAATGTCCAGGTCGTGTATTTACCACTGGGGGTCATGTAAAATAGTGTATGTGGAGAGCAATCGGGAAACCTCTAGCAAACCTGGAGAGGCACAAATTCTCTGAATCCTACCATTCCAGGTCTGAACCCACATCTTTGGGGAACTCTGCACATGTGCACAAGGAGACATGAGAAAGGTTTCTGTCAGCATTGTTCATAACTAAAAGATTGGATGGAGCGCCTGGGTGGCTCAGTCGGTTAAGTGTCCGACTTCGGCTCAGGTCGTGATCTTGCGGTCCGTGAGTTCGAGCCCCGCGTCGGGCTCTGTGCTGACAGCTCAGAGCCTGGAGCCTGTTTCAGATTCTGTGTCTCCCTCTCTCTGACCCTCCCCCATTCATGCTCTCTCTCTTAAAAGTAAATAAACGTTAAAAAAAAAAAAAAAGATTGGAAACAACCTATATATATGTCCAGTAACAGCAGAACATACAAACAAACAAGTAGAGGACTCCTACTGCGTGCTGATGGAGTAATCTACAGCAGTTAACACAAATGAGGTAGAGGGGCTTCTGGGGGGGCTCAGTCAGTTGAGCGTCTGACTCTTGATTTCAGCTCAGGTCATGATCTCATGATTCACGGGTTTGAGCCCCAGTCAGCTTCTGCACTAACAGCATGGAGCCTGCTTGATATTCTCTCTCTCTGCCCCCTCCCCCACTCATGCTCTCTCTCTCTCTCTCTCTCAAAAATAAAAAATAAATAAATAAAATAAAGAGACAACTTCCCCTTTAAGAAAAAAGAAATTGTCAGAGCTAGATATAGCAACGTGGATAAATGCTGAGTGAAAAAAACAAATTAAAGGACGATACGGTATAGATGATGCCATTTACAAAGAGACCAAAAGCATGCATGCAAAACAACACTGTCGTATCTATGTTTGTCAGTCTCCCTCCCTGGAACGTAAGCTCAGGAGGACACTGTCTTGTCCATCACTGTATCTGTAGTTCCTAGATATGGGCCTGGTGCGTAGAAGATGCCCGGTAAATATGTGCTGAAGCAATCAGTACAAATGCCGAGTTCAGGACAGTGGTCGCCCTTTGGTAAGTGGGAGAAAACAAGACTGGACGTGGATACATAGAGGGCTTTGATAATTCCAGAGTGTTTTATTATTATAAAAAAATCTGAACTATACACAGCAAAATACCAACTTTGCGATAAAGCCAGAGTATTTATTTATTTTTTTCTTTTTTTTATTTTTATTTTTTTTATTTATATATGAAATTTATTGTCAAATTGGTTTCCATACAACACCCAGTGCTCATCCC